TGGGTTTTGCACACGGGTGGGGCAACGCATGGGAGATTGGACCTGGTTTATGTGTGGGGTTGGGTATTAGCCTTGTGTGGAGCATGCTGGGCTGGTGAGAGACAGTGTTTTGATAGGGTGATATTGGTGGTGGGTGGAGCTGGTTTTGGTGGTGTGTATGCAGCATGTCGTTGTGTGATGGATAGGAAAGGGTATTGTGGGTATAGTGTTAGGAGTGGGGGATAGTTTGTGGGGGGAGAGATTTAATTGGGCGAAAGGCAAGGGCGAGGGGGTTTGAGTTTTTTTAACCAGTGGGGTGAGCGGAGGGGAGGTCGAGTGTGGTTGGACTGGTTTATGGTGAAGTGAAATACCGGAGGGGTGGGCAGTGACCTTGGGAAGTTGATATGAGTTAATGAGAGTTTGACAATTTCGGGGATGCGAGGGGGGAGGGTGTATGTAAGGGTGCGCGGGCGAGACTGATGGAATGATGTTGTTGGAGTTTTGCTGGTGGTGTAATTTTTTTAAAAAGATTTTTTATTCATTTATTCATAGACACACACACACACACACACACACACACACACACACACACACACAGAGGCAGAGACACAGGCAGAGGGAGAAGCAGCCTCCATGCAGAGAGCCTGACAGGAGATTCGATCCTGGGTCTTCAGGATCACGCCCTGGGCTGCAGGCAGCGCTAAACCGCTGCGCCACCGGGGCTGCCCGATATTGTAGTTTTTAATAAAAACTAGCAGGTGAATACAGACTGTGTGCCCAGAGGCAGGTGTACAGATCTTCAACATAAGTTTAAAACATGAAATTTCATTATATTGAGATAAAAATCCAGCTGCTATTGGATTTCTTCATTATCATTTGCAACAAAAATAACCCCACACATTTATCCTTTACGATTTTTACTTAGGTTTTCTCATCGAATCGGTGTCCTTTTAGTTGCAAATAACCGGGTCTTTCTTTAAGATGCAGTAATGCTCATTGCAATTTGGTTCCATTGGGATGAGCAAATATAGAGACTGGATGCTGACAAACAAGATACCTGACACTTGTATGGAGGGCAACTGAATGGGTGGGGCAAACCTGTGTAGAACACCTGCAGACCCGACACACATAGAGCCCTGTTTCTGCTGTACAAACGCTGTATATCCCCTTTCTTTGATTACTTAGTGTTTTTTATCTTAGAGTGTGGGAAGACAACTGAGAACAAGATGCTGTCCTCGTCCTTCAGGACTTTACAATCTAAATGGGGAGACAAAACATACACATAAGAAGTTAAACTGCTCAAGACTAAACTAACAGTTCAAGACATTAAAGTGAAGTCATGGTATGTAAATCATTGTGACCAGGAGAGAAAATTCATAGGTGAGTGGTATACCCTTTGGGCTCGGGTAACCAGGAAGGGCTTTATAGATTTTTCGGAGAAGAGATGGAATAGGAGTTAAATCTTTAGAAAAATCGGTACAAGGATATATTTTCTACAGATTCAAACTGCAGAAGAATTAATGATGAAATTTAAGTTTCCTAGTCATAGCTCCAAAACTTCCTGGAACAACCAGCATTACTATCTTTCCTATTTATCTCTCCCGTAAATTGATTCTGAATTAATTTTGCTTTATTTATTTATTCATGAGAGACACAAACAGAGAGAGAGAGAGAGAGAGAGAGAGAGAGAGAGAGAGAGGCAGAGACACAGGACACAGGCAGAGGGAGAAGCAGGCTCCATGCAGGGAGCTTGATGTGGGACTCGATCCTGGGTCTCCAGGATCACACCCTGGGCCAAAGGTGGTGCTAAACCGCTGAGCCACCCAGGCTGCCCTCTGAATCAATTTTGTTTTAATTGATTTTGAAATGTCAAGAGTTAAACCTGTTGTCTATTCACATAAAAGTAAGACCCACTTGATAGGATTTATGCAATAGGGGTCTGTCTAGGTCTATCTTGAGGTACCCCAGTGGACTTCCAAGTTGATTGTCCCCACAGCAATCTCTGCTCCACCTGTCTTTAGTTTCTGTCTTGACCCACTTTGGTTTAGATGCATTTCTAGCAGAGGGACGCAGTAGGCATGCTCCCATTTCTAAGCCCGTTGGGGACATCGTTGAGGAGCAGGTTGTCCCTCTTCCCCTTTCCTCAATCCTAGAGATCCTGGAAAGCTTCCTAAATAGAAGAGTTGGGAAACCAAATTCTGACACCTTGGAGAGATGCTCTAATGTAGACCGGAAACATATTATCTACTGAATTAACCCAAAGCACCTAACACCCATATTGGGAGCAAATTCTTCTGGAATTCCAGCCAGTCCTGCTTTTGTTTCTATTCCTACTCACCCACCCAACATGGACACCCAAATGCACATCCTGGTCACAAAGGAGAAAATATTTGTGGGATCCACGGTAGCTTTTTATAAGCTATTTCATATTAAATCTGGTGGCTTATGTCAGCAGGAAGGGCTAAAAACCAAAAACAGCCTCACTACTTCTAAATTGAACCACCTTTGCCCTAGACTATCCTCCCTGGTGTCTCTGGGAAGCAGAAACAGAAATCTTAGGAGGTGGAACAGCTCCACCAATTGGCTTCCTGGTTCTCCTCCAGAAGTTTTTTTTTTTTTTTTTTTTTAAAGATTTATTTATTTATTTATTTATTCATGAGAAACACACAGAGAGGCAGAGACATAGGCAGAGGAAGAAGCGGGTGTAGGACTTGATCCCAGATCCCAGTGCAGGCACTGAAGGCAGACGCTCAACCGCTGAGCCACCCAGGCGTCCCTAGAAGGTATTTTTTTCAAAGGGGTGAATATAGCGGGCCGTAAACTGACACTGGAAGAAAGGGCCCTGGACCAGGTAAACTTCTGAAGGATTTCTGCCGAGTAGGTTCATCTTAGCACAAACCCATGAAAGCAACAGAAGAGAAGAAATGGTAATGATTATTGACTTTCACTTGAAAGCCCTATGCTGTTGGTGTTCATGTATTATTATTTAATCACCACAGGACTACATTTAAACAGGGTTATTGCAGGCGAGTTCCACTTGTCAAAGCTCACAGATGTGGAACGGAGCGGCATTCAAAACTACGATCTGCCTAACCCCAGGGCTTCCATATTTGAGGAGAGAGATGGCAGAAATGAAGGCGATTTTTGAGAGTTAGTCTGGAAAAGCTGTAAGACACCGAGAATGGCCAAGTATCTACCCAGGTCCATCTGAAGGTGCTGTCTTCCGGGAGGCTTTCGTTTCTGAAAAGAGAGAGTAAGCTTCAAGGCCTCTTGCTGTTTGAAACGGTCATCCGGTATTCCCTGTTCCTAAGGGTTGACGGCGATGCGTGCAGGCCCGGGAGCCAAGGAAATGGTGTTTGTGGTGCTGGCTCCGGCACCGACAGCCTGCCTTAAGACCGAAGTCTCTTTTCATCTGTAGTCCTACGGTGCTCGCCGCCAAACATAGTAGATGCTCAATAAGTAAATGCTTGAACGGCATTAGTCGGGGTCCATGCTTCCAGCGGAGGCTTGGTGTCTGTAGGGTCAAAGCGACGAGGTTACGACAGTGCGGATACCCAGCCACCCACCGGCTTTGGGCGGCCTGGGCGGCCTGGGCGGCCGGCAGCTTAGGGCCTCCGGGTCGGGGCCTGGGAACACCGCCTGGACACCGGAGAAACGAGGAGGGAGGGAGGGCAGGAGAGCAGTGAGGAGCATCGTGTTAGGCGCCCAGCGTCTAGACCTGGCGAGGGCCTTTCGGAGCATGCAGCAGTCGCACCACCTTTCACGAAGGCGGAACCAAGGTCCCGGCTCTGCAGAAACACCTGGCATCCGCCCCGCCCGCCGCGGGGGCCCGGGGAAGAGCCCCGCCAGCGCCGGTTTGCGGCTCGGCCCCCGCCCCGTTCGGCAGCACGAGGGCCCCGCCCACTCACGCGGCGCGGTCGGGTCGGCCCGGCCCGGGCTCGGCGCGTCCTCGAGGCGGCCCTCGGGCCTCCCCCGGGACGAGCACGTGTCCGCTCGCGGCTGGGTACGGGCGGTGGGCTAGGCGGCGGCCCACGGGCCCCACCCAATGGCGCGGGCAGGACAGCGGGGCGGGGCCGGGGCCGGCAGCGCGGCAGGTCCCGCGCCTTCCCGCCGCGGAGCCGCCCGTGGCAGCGCGCCCCCGACGTCGCCAACCGAGACCGCGGGCGTGCCACCCCGCCTCGGCCCCGGCCGCCCGCCCGCCAGCCCGCCCGGCCGCCCGCCCGCCCGGCGGCCGCGCCGCGCCTCGCCTCACGCTCTACGGGGGAGGCGGGACCAATCAGCGAGCGACGTCTCCCTTCCGATTCGAGGCCCCCGACGCGCGGCTCACACCCCGAGCACCGCGCGCGCTCATTGGCTGCGCGCGCCGCCGGTCCGGCCGGGAGGGCGGGGCGGCCGGAGGGAGCGGAGGTGGGGAGGTAGTGGCCCGCGAGTCTCCGAGCCCCGCTCGCGCCCCGGCCCTTCCCGGGCGCTCGGCCTCCCTCCTTCCCTCCTCCGCTCGCCCCGTCTTCCGTGCGCGCGGGGCGCTGCGCTCGGCCGGCGTGCCTCGCGCCCTAACGGGCGGCCGGGGGCGCCAATCAGCGGGCGGCAGGGTGCCAGCCCCGGGGCTGCGCCGGCGAATCGGCGGGGCTCGCGGCCCGGGGTGGGAGGCGGGTCTACCGCGCGGCCGCGGCGGCGGCGGAGCAGCTCCCAGCCAGCAGCCAGCGAGCGCCGAGCGAGCCGCCCGAAGGTGGGTGCGCCGCGCCGCTGCGGCCGGCGGCGGAGGGCGCAGGGCGGAAGCGGAGGTGGGCCGGCGGGCGCGGCGGGGGAGGGCTCGGCCGTCCGGGCGGCCCGGGGCGGGGGGCGGGGGATGCGGGCGGGCTCGCGCCCGAGGGGAGGAGGGGGCGGCGGCGGCGGCGGCGGCGGCGGCGGCGGGACGCGCGTCCCCACCCCCTCCCTCCCGCGGGCGGTGGCCGAGCCCGCGTCCCCTCCCCGCGCGCGGGGCCGCGGGCCGGGCACTGGCTGGGGGGCGGGGCGGGCCGGGCCGGGCCGGGCGGCCGCGGGAGTGTTTTCAGTTCCGCCTCCAGTCGCCCCTTCCCCTCTCCCCTCCCAGCCCCTCATCCCATTCGGAAGAGGAAGGAACAAAAGGTCCCGGACCCCCGGCTCTGACGGGGCGGGACCCGGAGCCCCGGTGCAGGTAAAGCGGCGGCGCCCGGCGGGCCCTCGGGGTAGGGGTGTGTTTGCGTCGGGCTCGGGTCTCGGCGAGGCTCGGCGCGTCGCACGGCCCTGGGGGCCGGGGTGTGGCGGGGTCGGGGCGGGGGGCGCGGGGGGGCGCGGGGGGGGGCGCGGGGCCTGGGTCGGTGCCCGAGCTGCCCGGCCGTGGCCCGTCTCCTCTGCCGCGAACACGCTTCGTACTTTGTGGGTCTGATTTTCAAAGCCGGAGGGACCGAGCTCTTCTTGTTTCGGGAGTTGTTGGCAAGCCCTGGTAGGAGCGTGCGATACTTCGCTTCCACTTTTTTTTTTTTTTTTTTTTTTGTTGGTCCTGTAACCTTTGTTAACCATCGTAAGCCCGGGGTTCGGAACTGCTCGCGTGTACTCTCGCACAAGCAGGCACACGGCTGATCCTCCGTGGAGGTCCTGCGCTCACTTGTGAAAGTTGCCCTGGGAGTGGAGCCTGTTAGTTTTTATCACACGCCTTCTAGAAAGCACGCTAATTGATTTCACGTATTTCAAACTTGGTTTACACATTTGCAGCCTTAATGGTTTTGTTCTCTCTTGGGGGATACTGTCCTTGGGGTTGGGTACTTTTGCCTTTTACTTACTTAACCTTTCTGTGGTTATGGTTTCCTTTTGATCCTAAACAAAAGAAAAACAATACCTAGGTTGGTTTTGGTGTTCCTTCCTCTTGACCCCTTAAAAGCTAAATACTACCGGCTGGTTGTCCATTAAACCATTATTTTAAAAACCGTCTCCGGGTGGAACGATTCTGGGAGTAGCATTTTCCGTGAAAACCGTGTCTTGTTTGTTACACTTTTGAGTGTCCTCAATTTTGCTGTCTTGAACTTCTAAAGTAACACATGTAAAGTAACTGTTAATGAATAAATAAATGGTCACTGCAGACCTGCTTGGAGTTATTCCATTTTTCGAAAGTGCCACCCCCCTCCCCCAAAATCTGAGTTAATTTACAGAATTTTTAATGATTCTGCAGTCTTAGTTCCTTTCCATTTTCCTTCTGAATTTTGTGTGAATTGAACCTGTACCACTGATTGTAAGGAAGTTTTTCCTTGAGCAGGATAAGAAAACAAATTTGCTACCACTCTGAAAATACATTTGCTATTATTCTACTTTTGACTCCCTTTAAAAAGTTTTCCTTAGGTAGAAGTGTGAGTTAAATAGTTAAATGAAGTTTGAGGAGTTTTAATGTAAATAAAGAGATAAGCGAAGCAAATGTAACAGTTGGGAGAGATAACGTGAAACGGATTTCATAAATGTGTCCTAGTTTGAAGATTTTTTTTCATTTGCTTTGAAAAAAAAAAACCATACAGGATATTGGTGGAATTTTTCTGAATCAGAAGGTAATTTACCAAACATTTACATTAAATTCAGAAAGTAACACTGATTTTATTTTTAGTTCCTTAGTTTTTGCCATAAAACTGGTTATGGTAGTAAATAAGAATATTTTGAGTCCAAGTGCTCACTTAGTTCTCTTAAAGTTGAGTTTAAAGTAGTTCAGTGGCCAGTTTTTATAAATGTGATAGGAAACATCCATTTCTGGGCTTGTTTATTAGTAAGAAATCGCTCTTTGGGCTTTGCTTTTGTACTTTGTAGCTATGCCTTCTATAGTGATTTCACACTGTAGGTGTTCAGCAAGAGTTAGGTTTTCGTGGCTGTAACTTACCTGTGCCTAGGCATAAGTGATCAAATCTCTACACAGTCTGTAAGGTTCATGTAATAATAGTCTTGTAAGAAACCATGCAGGGTAATTTCCTGTTGTTTGTGGTTTGTCAGGCCCTGTATGTGTTTTAACTAAGTAGGGATTTGGGGATGGTTTTGTGTATTTCAGCAGCCCTTTCTCTTTAATAGGAACAAAGCTGGTTTCTACTTCAAGATGGCAAAAGGTCCCCTTTTCATTTTCCTACTGTAAATATTAGAATCATATTGCTATAATCTTGTTACTTCACGTTGGGGGGAGATATGTGAGTGAAAAAAAGTTGAGCTGCATCATCCACTGATCAAAGACCCATTTTTATATTTAGCATATATTTTCAGTTTGGGCTTTTATAAATGTCTGAAAGCTCTCTTTATTCTTGTTTGGTTTTTATTCTGTTGGTTTTGTGCTTTAGGACTCCAAAGGCCTTGTTTTGTAGCAGCTTTTTATACAGGTGTTTTTGTAATGCATATAAAAGCTGTATTTACTGCAGTCTGGCAGATGGGGGCTTATGTTCTTGGGACAAGTCCCTTTTAAAGGATGGAGAGGGGCATGTCTTTTAGATCCCTTGTCTTCTGATGGGAGGAGAGGAACCATTTTTAAGCTTTTAGTTTTTGTAAGATGAAAGCTGTTTTCCACTAAGTATTGCAAGGGTATGTCAGAAATGAGAAGTCCAAAGATTTCAAAAGCAATTCAGGCGAGGTTCTACATTTATTCAACAAAATAACTTTTATTTATTGAACAAGTAGCATTTATTCATTTATTCAACAAATAAAATAGCCTTTGCTCTGTGTCAGGCCCTGGACTCAGCAATAAAGGATCTAACAGGGAACAAGTATACCCCTGTTCCCTAATGGAATTGGAAAAGCGGAAACTCCTCCTATCTCCTGCCTGTCCTCCAGTCTTTGGAGTAAGAAAATCATGTTATTGTACAAATTGAGGGAGCTTGTGATGCATTACTGGCCAGTTCCTAAAGTATGCTTGCATTGCTTTCTGTCAAATGTGGAGGGCTGGGATCCCTGGGTGGCGCAGCGGTTTGGCGCCTGCCTTTGGCCCAGGGCGTGATCCTGGAGATCCGGGATTGAGTCCCGCGTCGGGCTCCCGGTGCGTGGAGCCTGCTTCTCCCTCTGCCTGTGTCTCTGCCTGCCTCTCTCTCTCTCTCTCTCTGTCTCTCTCTCTCTCTGTGACTATCATAAATAAAAATAAATAAATAAATAAATAAATAAATTAAAAAAATGTGGAGTGCTTCACGAGGGAAGATGTTAAGTGTTAATTTATAGCATCACTGGGAACAGTCTGTTTTAGGGTGGGGGAGGGGAAGAGGGGAACTTGTCACCATTTTTGTATAATCCATACAAACTGAGGACATGGCCAGTGTTTCAGAAACATACTTGTTGCTGAACAGATGAATACTTGTAGCTTGTAAGCTTAATCAGGCCTTAGTTTGATTATCCATTGCCCTTTAGTTGTAGAAACTGGCTGGAGAAAGAAAGCAAATCTGCATCAGACGGGTCCCACTGAAAGAATTGGAAATAAAATGCAAAGACACTCAACTGCATCGAGATTAAGGATTTGGCTACAATCTCACGTAGTGGAGCAGCCGTGGGTTGTGGTGTCAGAGAAACCTAGGTAATGGTTGGTTTCCCAGTTACTATGTTTGGCAAATTGCTTAACTTATGAGCCTCGGTTTTCTGACTGAAAACAGAGGTAGTGACACCTGCCTCTTCCCCTTATTGCAAGGGTTAAGTGTTGTGATTTGAAGTACTTAGCACATTGCCTCAGACATCCAGGGTCCTCCTGGATGATCTCTTGCTGTCTTCTTGTGGCTTTCAGTTGTTTTCTTTCTAATCCCAGATGATTTGCCTACACTGTGATTCTTCACCTATTATAAAATGCATTTGAGAACTAGACACCAAGCAAAAAATGCCTGGGGCAGCCAGACTGTCTTAAGTTCACACCTAAAGTTACAGTCATTAGGAGAGCCATCGAGACCCTTCATCAAAACCTATTGGTATATATATATTTTAGATTTTTTTTTTTTAATGCCCCAGATGTTTCTAACAAAGTTATCTAGCTTCTAAGCCACAGTAGATTAGAAAGAAGTAGGTTGTGGGTAATGTGGGAGGTTAAGGGGAGTATAGTGGGGGGTTGGGTAGGAGGATGGGGAACTGTTAGCCTACTGTCTGTTGTAAGAAAAAACAGATAACAGCCTGGTGAGGATAATAGAGATAATCTACAAGACACAAACCAAATATTCAAAGCCTAACTAGCATGTCTGGGACCATTCAGTGCAGGACCAGACCTGAAAGCGTAGTAATGAATGTTCATCAATTAGCTTAAACCATGTTTGGGAAAATCTTTTTAAGAGTGCAGTAATCTACATAATATACTTTAGATTGTCATTTGGGATGATTAACAAATGTTCCTAAAGGGGTAGAACATTGTGCTTCATCAGATGACTTATTTTATGAAAGATGCATAGTACCTGCTATGACCAAGGTGGTGTTCATTTGTTTTGCCATTTAGAGCAGCACCACGATTTCAGACTGAGAAGCCTATCGTGTTAGGCCAGTAGTAAAGAAAGATGATCTAAGTGGTGTAGAACCCCGTGCCACCCCTTTTCTTCAGAGTAAGTCATTCTTTGTCAGTCTGCAGGGGTGTCATGTAAAACATTTCACTCCAGCTGTAAGACTGAGTGTGCTAGAGATTTCAAGGACCAAACAAGTGTGGATAGTTGGCTTGTCTGTTGAGGACTTCTTGCCTCTTATGTGTGACTTTGACCCGGTATTGGCCTTAATAATGTTTTTGGGTTATTCTCCCTCCTATCTCTGAGTTACTTTCTAAATCATCTACTCTATTAAATGCTTATTGGTGACATTGTAATTTTTTAAAGTTTTTTTTTTTTTTTTCCAACTAGTAGTACAAAAGTACTTCGGTCTTAAAAATGCAGTTTGAGGCTTATTGGTTGTCTCTGATCAATTTTGATTGTTACTCCAAATTGTTATAATTGTAATATATTCAATTAGGACATATTTCAGTGCTGATTCTAGATAGACATATCAAGGATAGCTCTATTTCAGTTTCAATTTCAGTAATTTCATGTGGGGAGAATATAATTTTGCCAGGCTGGTTGGATTTAGACTGCTTCTGATTTGGCCAGATAGCCAGAAATATTAGGGTAATTCTGTGATTTACATACTTGCCCTTACATTCTACAGTGTAGAGGTTCCTCTTAATGTCACTGAGCCACAGTAGTGGAACCAGTGCCT